ATATATATACATTTAACATGGAGTTATTCATATAGCTCCTTGGGCTTAGCAACGGGTGCCATGGGTACGTTCATTAAGGTAGGTGGCGATTGTACTATGCTATACATTGACAGACAACACGCTACTTTCATTTCCTACACAGAGAGTCTGATACTTTGGATGTACATGAGTACGGGAAGATTAGGCCTATATTTGACTATACACTTATCATACATTGTATTATCATAATTATGTAGGCCTATGTAGATGAATGTTTGAAAAAAAAAGTAAAAATATGATTAAGGCCTATTATGGGCTTATATTCGCAGGAAAAAATCCTGTCTAGACATTTACCACGTTTAGTTGCCAGATATTCCCCAAACTGGGTGAATTCAACATTTTGTCACGACACAATCCTTTGAATTTAGAATAAAAAACCGCACATGGTGCTTTATCATCATGCGATTCCAGTTGACACAACATAAATTACCAGAGGATAATGCAGGTGCTGTATACTCTTAGAATAAAGATGTTATAACTCAGGTGCATTCAAGAGGGGCCCAGCCGGCCCGGCCCACCACACTTCCTATAATTTTTCAATTGAAAATTGAGAAAAAAGAAAATTCTATTTAAATTTAAGTATGAGAGCACCATTTGCGGCCATCTAGGGGTGCCATAATCATAATTTTTATTGCCTAAGCCCAAGCCAATAATTAAGACACGTCGTCAAAGTGATAATCGAAATGCATTTTCAGAACACGTATACAGTAGGTGGAGAGTATCTCAGCCTGTCATGTGGAAGACCGGGGTGAGTAAATTCCCCACTAAGAAGTTTTTTTTGTATATTCCGACTATATATTAATAAAATGGTGGCTCTCAAAAGTTTACTTATATTTAATTCTAAGCCGCCGTGGCAATTTCGATACTTTCAAAATCAGTGAATGAGTCCTGATGAGTGATTGATCGATTGGTTGGTTGCTTTGTTGCTTGGTTGACTGGCTGATTGTTTGCTTAATTAATTGATTTATTTGGATGAGTATAAATTATATATTTATTAAATTTATTTTAATAATGTGAAGTAAGTCTATTAACAAAAACGAGGAATCAGAAGAGGAAAAGAAGACACTAGAAGAGAAGGTAATCCAACAACTTAATAGTAAAGGGATTGCTATTCACGAACATGAAATATCTGTAATACATACACTAAGATCAAGAAAGTCGACGACCAAACCAAACATTATCATAAGGTTTACATCAAAAAAAGTGAAAAGCAGAATTCTAAAGGAAGCTAAATTATTAAAGGGTACAAATATATACATAAACGAACACCTGACGAAAAAAAAATGCTGAAGTTGCTGCTACAGCACAAAAGTTATCTCGAATGAAAATCATAAAAAGACAGTGGGTCAGGTACTGTAAAGTGTACGTTAAAACTCAGGGAATAAGAGAAGATGATGAAGAAATTCACATAATCAGAAATATGTATGAATTTAAGAAACTTGGTATTAATTTGGATTGTCTCAAATTAAAAATATAAGAAATATTATGTCACATAATAAACAAGATGTCACCCATAGAAAAGTATATATTCTTATTTCATGTCATTATTCTGTTGAGTACTTTATTGTATGTACTGTATGTGTGTATTCATACATAAATACAGGCAGTATAATACATATATGTACATAAGTATTATTTAAATGATATAAAAGTAAAATGAGTTTAGACGATCAACAATGTGGTATTTGATAGTAATTGTTATTGTCGTGATGGAATAATAGACAATAACTGGATTTGCGTCAGGAGAAACATGTATAGGTGTAATTTTTTTTTTTGCCCTACCTGACGTGGAAATGTACCGAATACTTAGTACATTTGAAAACAACTGCGGAAAAAAAAATCGCAAGTTGTTCTCGGGTGGGAATACCCGGAGATCGTGGGTTCTCGGGTGGGAACACCTGGAGATCATGGGTTCGAGTCCCACCCGAGAACAACTTGCGATTTTTTTCGCATTTGTTTTCAAATGTACTGAGTATTCGGTACATTTCCACGTCTGGTAGGGCAAAAATTAAACCTATAAATGTGGTATTTGCAACGAGAAAATAATATTAAATAGTAAATTTGTCAAATAATGTTCTATTTGTAAATTACTGATACACTGCAAGTGTGCTAACATTTCAAAAAATGAATTCAAATTATTCTGTAGTGTAAATGCTGAATAGTTTTTGTAAAAATTGTGCTAACATTTTTCCATTTAGTAACCTGGATGATGATGACATATTTTTTGTTAACACTGTATTAATCTTGATACTAATTTATGTAACTTGTATAGAGAAAGTACTGAATTTAATTTAAGACCTTTAATTATACTGATTATAGCTCACTTGATTTTGAAAATGGTGTAGATCCTGATAATAATTTCTACAATAATATTAATTTAGATTGTAATTATTATATAGATGAACGGTTAAATAATAAGCTAGCTGGTGAAAGAGGTCTTTCCGTTGTTCATTTTAATTGTAGATGTCTCAGAGCTAACTTTGATAAATTAAAAGATTATCTAAATGATCTTCATTTTAAGTTTGATATTGTGACAATAAGTGAAACATGGCTTGATACAAATTCGGACATCAATATGTATTATCTAGTGGGATATGAAATGTGTCATATGGCCTGTTCTAATAAACGAGGTGGTGGTGGTGGCTATCTTTGTTAGCAGTGAGATTAAATATAATGTTGTCGATAAAATGACGACATCAATAGATAATTTATTTGAATGTATTTCTATTGAATTATTTATACAGAAAACTAAAAGAGTTCTCATTAGTTGTATATACAGACAACCTGGGTCTGATATAAATTTATTCATGGATGCAATTGAACATTTATTTAGAAATAAAAAATCAGATATTTATATATGTGAAGACTTTAATATAAACTTATTAAACTTGGAAAATCACAAGGGTACTAGAGATTTTATAGAATTGTTATTCACCTTGGGACTCTTTGCACTCATAGATAAACCAAGTCGAATAACTGAATCATCTGCCACATTAATAGACATAATTTTTACTAATGTTATAGATGTTAAACATACAAAAAAGGCTACTTATAAATAATTTAAGTGACCATTTACCAGTATTTTGTGTAAACCACCAAAAAATAAGTAGAAATGAAGAAAAAAGATTTTATATGCTAGGCAATGTGATGAAGAATCAATGTCAGTCTTCTTTCATAAGTTAAACCAAGAAACCTGGGAAGAAGTCTATACCTCCAATGATGTGAATGAATCTTATGATCATTTTATAAATACCTTTACAAGATTCTACAATAATTGTTGTCCTGTAAAAGAAATAAATATCAATAATAAATCTAAAGACAAACCATGGATAACAAAAGGGTTGAAAAATGCATGTAAAAAGAAAAAATATTTATATAAACAATTTCTTAAAAGAAGAACTCAAGAATCCAAACAACGTTACAAACAATATAAAAAAAAATTAACATCTATTCTGCGATTTTGTGAACGAGAGTAATATACTAATCTTTTACAAAATTATAAAAATAATGTAAGAGGTACATGGAAAATATTGAATAATATTATTAATAAAAGAGGCCAAAAAAAGTAATTATCCAGATATGTTTAATAATAAAGGAAAGAAAGGATAAGAAAACGATAGCAAATGGCTTTAACGATTTTTTTTGTGTTAATGTAGGACCGAATTTAGCTGATAAAATACAGGTACCTAATCACAGTAGCACAATATTTGATTACTTAGTGAAAAGGAATATTTATTCAACCGTCTTATTTGATACTTCTGAAATAGAAATATTGGATATTGTAGGCCTAAAAGGTTTTGGATGTAAATCATCTTTCGACTGTAACGACATCAGTATGGTACTACTTAAACAGGTTATTACTTATATAATTAAACCCTTTACTTATATTTGCAGTAAATCTCTCATAATATTTTTAATGAAAGTCAGTTTGGCTTTAGAACAGGGTTATCTACATCAATGGCATTAGTAGACTTGATCGAAGAAATCACTACATCTCTTGATAAAAAAAAAATCAACGATTGGAGTATTTACCGATCTTAAAAAAGCCTTTGATACAATAAACAATAGAAACATTGAAAGAGTGTATGTAACTAAGTTTCTTGGAGTTTTAATTGATCTCAAATTGAACTGGAAAGAGCATATTTTAAATGTATCCAAAAAACTATCTAAATGTACAGCAATAATCTATAAAGCCAGTCATATTTTGAATAATCGGGCACTTCATACGTTATATTGT